AATATTGTCGGCCATACCCCTTATAGCCTATTTTTAATGTGGGGAAATGGTCAAGACAAACAAATCCAGAATTTGAAAATATTATAACAGATTCCATAAAGAAAAGCTCCCTTTTTGAATCATTGCAGTAAATACAATATGGTTGGTATCTTGGTTGCTTTTCATTCATAAGGAAATACCTACGTATATCAAAGTGCACTACTCCAACAAATTAATTCCATTAATAGAGTTCTATATGTCTAAAAAATAGACATACATATTCTAAAAAGCCCATGTACTGACCATTTATGTAAAATTTGAACAATAAATGGTGCTTTTGATTACAAAGATGGAACTCAGAAAAAGTAAAAAAGATGAAGGGGAGTTGAATTCATAAAGAACTAAAAATCTCTAGTTTGAGAAAAGAAGAATGGCAGACAAAGAGACAAAGGAGAAAAGGGATCAAGGGTTTGAAAGCTCTAACCAATATAGTTCATAGCTTCAAGTTTGGATTTTATCTCAGCCGCTGAACCAATGTCCTCATCAAGAAGAAGAACCCTGAGACCCTTTGGGAAATCTTTCCACCCAGATAAATCATTAGCAGTGAAAACCATAGCTGGTTTGGCATCCTTTCTCAGGCTACCAGCAAAAAGAACTGCAGATCACTTTTTACCAACATCCAATTTTAACCCTGCATGCCCCAACCAGAAATACCAATCAATTAACAGAAACAAGCTCAGATGACTAAACACTTCAATAGAAAATCATGGCTGAACTAACAAATTCTTCAAGAAATTAAATATAGAGGAGAAATACCCTTCAGAAAATAGAAACTTAGTTTAACTAATAATGGCTCCTGGAAGACTCAAATTCTACCCGATCTCTGAAGATCATGTTATAAAACATAACTTCCATTCAAATTGCATCAGATAGATCCCTCTCTAAACACCATTTGAGTAGCTAAAAGCTTCCTCCGGTCAAATCCCATAATGGAGATCAATCAAAATTCTTATATATGGATATAGAATACTAGGTGTAAGGATCTTTTTTTAATCGTGTAGATACAACTAGTTTCTCAAGACAACAAACAGACAAGAATCCATGTAAGATCTCCGTCAAACACACGACAGAAGAGGGAAAATATAATAATGAAGGGGGCAAAATAAAAACCGACCGGTAAATGAGAAGCTCTTCTTCACCAAAAAGGTAAACTGGGAAAAGACTCGGAAAGAGAAACAATGGAATACTGTAACTACACAACATGCATGCACACAGTCACAATCATTTCAAGAAAAGCTCTAAATTATTGTATTACGCGCAACAACAAAAAAGAAAACAATCATCTTTAATCCAAGAGAAGAAGAAAAGAACTACAAAAGACCTGGAAGAGAAAAAAAAAAAAAAAAACATTTTGCTTGCCATTTTTCCTCCCACTTTTTACTACCTTGGTTTAACACAGAAAAACAAAAAAAAGAAAGAAAAAAAAGCTCTTCTTCTCCCCCAAGTATTCGTCTTTAGCTTGCAGCTCCTGACTTTTGGCTGTATATAGAAATTTCACAGAGAAAGAGAGAGAGAGGGACAGAAATAGAGAAAGAGAGGAAGACAGAGAGAGAGAGAGAGAGAGAGTGGGAAGTTCAAGTCTTTTTACGTCGTAGCGCGTCTATGTCTGTGACTCTGTGTGCCTTTATGTTATGTAGCTATCAGCTATAGATAGACCACAGAATATACAAGAAAAAAAAGCTTCTTGTATATAAAGGTATAATCTTTTCTTTCCCCCTTTTATTTTTAACCTTTTCTCTGGTCTGAATATCCTTCAATGGGGAACTCCCCCACCATTATTATTTACACATGTTCCTGCTATGTTTGAATTATGCCTCAAAGGCACATCATCACTCATTTATAAGGTAGACGTGATGTCTACTGCATATACTGTATGAGTTTAAATAAAAATATAAAATATAAAAAACTATATAAATCTTAACAAATAAATCCAACTAAATTAAGATCAACCAACTTTCACATGGGTCTCTTACAAGTCTCATTATTTATTTTTCCGGCATTAGCTGGTATTTTCTTTTTTATAAGCTCACAATAAATATTAAGATATTGTATTACGATTAATATTTATATATCGTATAATTATTAAAATATAAAAATTATTATGTTATGTGGAAAAAAAAAAGAAACAGAAGAGTATTTGAATCAGTATAAAAAGATATCGACATATTTCAAATATTGATGTTTTTAAATTCTTAATTTTTTTTGTTCTCGATCAATCTTTGTACTATGTAAAAGATTTAAGAGCACTTGGCGCATATCTTTACTGATTTTTGTAAATAATTTTGTACATGAGTTTGCACATTTCTAGTTCGTACATTCAGATTTTTATATTTCTTATTTCAAACAAATATATAATACAAAAAATATAATAATTCATACTTATACCATGTAGTTAAATAAAATATATAATTTTTGAATAAAAGATTGTAATACTAAAAAACTTCAACCCAATTAAACTTCATCATATTCTGTCAAATTTGATTTTTCAAATATGATGTACATTGCAAATTGTAAAGAACAAAACAAGCAATTTGAAGAAGAAAAAAGAAGAAGAAGGCCAACTTTATGTGGAAAATCAAGTTCACATATCTAAAGGCATGTAAGCCAAGTATGCCTCAAGAGGTCATAAGCATACCAGAGGTGGAGATGATTTGTATATTAAAAAAAATAAAGTTAAAAAATAATTTGATTTATATATTTTTACTTAATTAAGAGGACTTATAAATAAATAAACTACTAAATTTTAATAATTGTATTTTGGTCAAATTCATACAAAATAATTATTTTTTGTTAGAGATATTGTGATCGTTTATTTTGACTTTTTAAATCAAT